GATGAGAGCCACTTTGAATGCTGACTGCAGCATGGGAAACCAGCAGTGAGCGCCTCAATAAGGGACTTCATAAGACACTATACCATAAATTTGTTTCTATGTCTGATGCATTTCTTTGGAAAGAGAAATAGAAAAAGTTAAGATATATTATTTTTTGCTCCAGTGTATACTTTTTGGAAATTTTAACTGGATAATCTGCATTTTAAACTGCATAATCAAGACATGGATGTATCAAAATCTCCTTTATCTGCTGTGGTACTTGGTCAGTCAATTGATAAAATTGCTAGAACAGCAATCAATCATGCATGCACACATACACACCAACATACAAAACACCTTACACTTTCATTTTCCCTATGTGCACATTCAAATTTACATAGACATCCTTTGATCAAGGCCTTTTCTTTCAGTATGGATTTCTGACTAGTGCTCTCTTTCCCCCTGCCCCCATGAACCACAGCCATAATGCAGTACTGCTCTATTTAATGTGAAACAAGAATGAAGACACAATGCAATGACAGTATAGATGACTTCTGACTTTGATATCTTTTCTCTCCCAATGTTTTACTATCATAGGCCAAGCAGATTGGACAGCACATTGTGGGGGGTGGGGGGCCCTGACTGAGTCTTTACATAAGATTCCACTTAGTCTTCAGAGAGAGAATTCTTGTGCTTAGTGCCTAATTCTTATGAGATTTCTTTGTATTTAAACGATGAAATTGCAGGTCGATGGGTCAAAATATGTTCAGGAAAGTCATTCTGAGTAAGCCTGGAACTCAGTGAGTGAGTGGGTGTCCATGGGCACAATTGTACTAGAGATCTGATCATCACATGGGCGTCTGCCATTGTTTTAGATATAGAAGGCAGAGAGAACATTCTCTATACACTGTTGAGCTAACAGAGTTTCTACTGTTCTTGCTTATTAAAAAAAAGAACAAAATACAAACCCTCCAGATGTGTATAAAATCAAAAGTTGAAGTCCCCCCTACCCCCACCCCCTCGCACTTAACTTATCCCCAGCCCAGTATAACACTTTGGAGTGTATCCTCCCAGACGTTGCTGTGCAGTCCCTCATCCTTGCATCATTTCTGGAGTCTTCTGAGGTTGTCGGCCTCTATACTAAGGTCTTGGTGGGCAGCTCTTGTTTAATCTTCACGCCAGCCCTGTGAGGTAATACCATGATTACCTCCATTTTTCAAATAAGTAAACTGAGATACAGAAAGGCTTAGTAATGTGCCCAAGGTCACATAGTGACTGACTAACTGGAGAGGAATATCGTACTAGTGATTATGAGTTGCCCATTCATTCAATAAGCACTTAGTGACTAGTCACTCGTTGCCAGGCTCTGTATTCAAACAAATGGTTTCTGTTCTCAGGTACATAGAAAGGCAGGTCAGTCTGTGAGTTCAACGATTGGCCCCAATTCATACTGTTGGTAAATGGGTAGAGCCAGATAAAATGCCAGTTTCTTTAAACAAATTGATATGCAACAACCCTAGGAATATCAAAATTTGGTAGGTTGGTTTCCAAAACTCACCACCTTAGGTATTGATTCCATGATCAGATGAGTTTGGAGGACCTCAAAATCAGTGCCCAATAGTCCAGTTTGTAAATTACATATTATAGATATAAATTCTGACAGGTTTGTTAAAAGTAGTAGTAATAATAACAATAATAATAATAATAAAACAGACATGGTTCTATTGTAATCCAAAGGAGGAGGTGAGGGCAAGCTAGGGTTCAGGATTAGAGTTCTGTATTTCCTTGGGTGGGAGGACTGGTGGTAAACAAACTTAAAAAAAGAAAGAGCTTGGCAAAGAACTTGGTGGCACTGTTGGGTAAGCATTGGACTGCTAAACACAAGGTCAGCAGTTCAAAACCACTTGCCACTCCTCATGAGAAAGATGAGGTTTTCTGCTCCCATAAACATCTACAGCCTCAGAAACCATATGTAGAGTTATTATGAGTTAGAATCAACTCTATGGCAATGGGTTGGCTGGGAAAGAGCTTGACTGGAATATTAGTGATTTAGTGGTAAAAGTCTTGAATCTTATGTGGGAGACTGCTTGATTCTAGTCAATGAACCTTGAGCACCGACTACACATTTGTCCTTGGAGGCTTGTTGTGTTGCTTTAATGCTGAATAGGATTCAGGGTGCTTCTAGACTAATGAAGACTAGAGGGGAAAAAACACGAGCAATCTAAATTAAAAGCAAACCAAAACCAAACCCCCTATTGATCACAGCAGTTCAATGCATTGACCTTTGGGGCAGACTTACTTGGCTTGCATATGGATCACTGAGTTCAGTGGCATAAATAGGGTTAGGTTAGAGTTAATGTTAGGGTTACAGTTGACTAAATGGTGGCTGACAACAAGGAACTTGATTAGAACTTTGAAAGTATCTTCTTCATTGGGCCTCCACTCAAGTACTCCCTCAATGCAGGAACACTTTATTCTAATAAACCAGGATTCTGTGATGCTCACCTTCCCGACACAACCGCTGAAGACAAAGTAGGTGCTTAAGCAAATGTGGTGAAGAAAGCTGATGGTGCCCAGCTATCAAAAGATACAGCATCTGGGATCTTAAAGGCTTGAAGATAAACAAGCAACCATCTAGCTGAGAAGCAACAAAGCCCACATGAAGAAGCACACCAGCTTGTGTGATCATGAGGTGTCGATGGGATCAGGTATCAAGCATTAAAGACCCCAAACAAAAAATCATGCCAATGTGAATGAGAGGGAGGGCGAAGTGGAGACCCAAAGCCCATCTGTAGACAATTGGACATCCCCTCACAGAAGGGTCACAAAGAAGAGATGAGCCAGGCAAGGTGAAGTATAGCACTGACCAAGCACAGAACTTTCCTCTAGTTCGTTAATGCTTCTTCCACCCCACTATCATGACTCCAATTCTACCTTACAAATCCAGCTAGACCAGAGGATATACTCTGGTACAGATAAGAGCTGGAAAGACAGGGAATCCAGGCCAGATTAATCCCTCAGGACCAATAATGAGAGTAGGAATACCAGGAGGGGAATGGGGAAGGTGGGGGGTGCGTGGAAAGGAGGGGAACCGATCACAATGATCAACAGGGGGTTATAGCAGAAAAGTAGGTGAAGGGAGACATTGGTCGGTATAAGACATGAAAATAATTATAATTTATAAATTATCAAGGGTTCATGACAGAGGGAGGGAGGGTGGGGGGAGAGGAAATGAGCTGATACCAAGGGCTCAAGTAGAAAGAAAATGTTTTGAAAATGATGATGGCAACACGTGGATGGATGGACAGATTGTGATAAGAGATGTAAGAGCCCCCAATAAAATGATTTAAAAGAAAAAAGGAAGTGTCTGCTTAAACAAGGCGACAGCAATTTTAATCAGAAGTCCAGAAAAGGGAAAAGAGGAGTTGATTGAACATAATAAGGAGATATGATGAAAAAGATCATCATAACACAAAAATTGAGGAATTAGGTTATAATGATAGAAAAAATTAAAGATGGCAAGTTACGACGGAACCACATTTTTTATGTATTATGCAATGCATTCAACATGGCTGGTTGGCCAGGTCTAACGCACATTTGAGAGGCGGTAAGGAAATATCTCTCTGGGACTGGGAGGCAGAGGTGGGGAGTTGAGCCCTGTGAGCACCTGATCCCCAAATGCAAGAATGCCTGAGGGGCTTCTAGACCAGTGGGCCACATGCACACAGCGGTGGATGTTATAAACGTGGGATTGTTATAAACGTGGAATGGGGGTCTAAAGACAGGGAACAACACGTAAGCCTTCACTGGCAGACTTACAGGAATGGTGACATATCCTCGGTGGCAGGAGAAGCAGATGTACGGGATGTGGCCATTGGTGGGACAAGTGGTCCGGTGGAAAAGGAGAATTAAGCAGGAGGAGGAAGCAGCAACATCTTGAGTTTCTTCAATAGTTGGCTGAGAAACTTGCAGTCTCGGATAGAGTTTGGCACTCAGAACCGAAATGGTTCTGTTGGGTTGGGAAAAGTATTGCTGTCAGGTCTCTCTCTTTAGAAAAAAAAAAATGCTTTTTAATATTTTCACAATAAAAATTCCATAGCAGCTCCTTGTCTGGAGGACTTTAAAAATAGGAGCGATTTCATTCGTCTGGAATGATCTGTGGCAGCACGTGCCCTAAGCAAGGTTGCCACATAAGCAAAAAATTAAAAAATAAAAAACCCAACCCCTTCCTCCTCTGAAACTGGGCGCCCCTGCCCGGGTGCCTCTCAGTGCCCTTGGCATCCCTGCCCCTGGGCTGACCCCTTTTTCCTGGGCTCCAGCTCCAATGTGACTTCCCACATCCCATCAAACCTCCCTCCCTCAGGAAGGCAGCTTTCTTTCCAGGTGCTAGGAATGCAATAGGTTTCACCCTTGGCGGCCTATTTGCATTTAAAAATAGGCCCCTGGTTAGCCCCAGGAATTTCAAGTTGGTGGGGTTTTGTGCAGAGAAATCTAGGAGCAGATGAGGGCTGGGGGTGGGGTGGGGTGGTACTCCGGTCCGCTGGGGAAGGGGTGCGGTGGGCCGCCTTCCTGGAAGCTATTAAATCCCAGATGTGGACTCCGTTCAGCTCTGCGGAGGCAGAGGGTTGAGGGGGATGGAGGCGGGGGTGGCAGGGGGCTGAGTGGACTCTCTGACCTCTCAAGGTTGCTGGTAATTCCATGGCTTGGTGAGTTCCAGCTACACTTCCCCACGTGAGGCGTCCCTCGCAGCACTCCAGGCGCTGCGTGACTTGGCTTTAACTAGCGGTTGGCAGCAGTGTGTCGTTGTGCCTATCAGCCAGGGCCCAATTTTCCCATCACCGGCCTCCTTGCAAACAGCGGAAGATCAGTGGCAGCTAAGAGGCTTTTCAAAGAGTCCTTCAAAGCTCTGGTTCTCAAAGAAGCTTAAGAAAGGGGCTGCTTGGCTGCTCACCGTGTGGGGGGGTGGGGGGTGGGGGGGGTGGCGAGCGCTTCACGAAGCCAACACCTTCGTGGGTCCGAGGATGCCGCAGGCCCTAGACAGCTGGGGTGGGCCCAACTGCCGCATGACATTTGTTCAAGCTGTACATAGGGCTAAGTTCGTGGGGGACCAGCACACGGTCAAGAGCTCCTCCTCTGTGCCAGGCTCTGAGGTAGACCCCATGAGTAGCACAAGAGGAAAAGCAAGGCCCCTGTTCTGAAGGAAGCCAGGCCAATGGGGAAGATAGACGTCCAGTGTAAGACGTGCCCTGTGCGTAAGCCAGGGCATGTGGGGCCATGCCGGGGGTGGGGCGAAGTGGGGAGTAGCGGGGTGCTGCCCTTGGCTCAACTTGCTGCCGATAGAGACCCGAGAAAGCTGTCCCGGGGAGAAGACATCCGAGCTGAGTAGGAGTAAGCCAAACCACAGAAAGGTGGGAAGGGCGGTCTGTGTAGAGGGAACGCATGAAAGGAGCTGACGTGTGTGGGGAACAAGGAGCAGGCTGCGATTAGTGCAGAGGAACGTGTCAGGCAGGGTGTAGCAAGAGAGGAAGCTGACAGGGAGGGCCCGGCCTCCCTGGCTGCAGTCTTTAGCCTGAGAGGGGTCTCAGAAGGATTCTAACCAGAGAAATGCTAGGGTCAGATTGGAATCTTGCTTCACCTGTCAGTTTAGGAGAAATCATTCCAATCGTCTGTGGGATGCATTGATTGGAGTTCAGCTAAAAGGGGTAGATTTGCAGAGCTATCCATGGTGAAGTCAGATGCTCTGTTCCCTGGAGGATTCGCCCTTAGTCTATAAGTATCTTGTAGGAGGAGCCCTCAAACAATGTCAGGAGCCCTGGTGGTCCAGTGGGTTGTGCATGGGGCACCTAACCCCAAGGTGGGCCGTTTGAAATCACCAGCTCCTCCCCGGGAGGAAGACTCACAGTCTTGGAAATCCACAAGGGCAGTTCTACCCTGTCCTATAGGGTTGCGTGGGTGTGAATGCACTCACTGGCAGTGAGTTTTGTTGTCGGAGTTCTGGAACACTCTATAGGTCGATAGGTATAGCTCTCTGGGCAACCCAACAGCGTTTACGTCTTCTAAACGGTGCTTAATGGAGTGGGTCTGCTGGCCGCGGATCCTGCTTGCTTCTTCCCTTTCTCCCACACTGCAGTACCAATGTCAGCTCCGGAAGGCACCTGGCCTATGATCTCTTTATTTCGTTTTAGCAAAAGTCGTCTGGAAAGGCGTTGTTTCACCTGAGTTGCAGCCATTTAAACCTTGCTGAAAAGGAATATTTTGGATTAGAATTCTGCAGCCATTCTGGAAATAATGTAAGTTGGTTTTATGCTGGGTTCTTTGTGTGTAGCATTGCTTCCAAATGCAGTCTGCAGCCAGATATGCCAGGCTCAAACCCCTGACTGAAAGGAAAAATCATGAACGCCTTCGCAAAGGATTGCATTGAATTATACATATATCCCCTCCCTATTGTTTACTACAAATCATGCCAAATATTCTTCTGACCCATGCTTGTGTTTTGTCACTCTGTGACTTGACTGCCCATCTCTGCTCTCTAGTTTGACTTTCCGGAAACGGACCCGTAGCCTGCAGAACGAAGACGATTAATCCTACTGATAACAATTCAGGGGAATCTCCTTTTCCCTCTCGCAGCTTCACATTCTTCCCAATGGTGCCTCCCTTGTCATATCTGTTAGCTGGGCCTCTTTCGGGAAAGACTTCTAGGTTGGCATTCGGAAGCTGTAAGATTCAAATGTGGAGCCAAATGCCTTCATTAGTCTTTGTAGCAACTAATGAGACTTGTATGTGATACCTCTGTGATCCTACAGGGGCAGGGGAGCGGTGATTCAAATGTCAACAGCAAAGTGTAGATCAACAACGCTTGCTGTCATTAGAAAAATACAAGGGGGCAGAAGGAGTGTGGTGAAGATATGTCATCCCTGACATTGCGGCTTCTACCTAGTTTTAGAAGTCTAAAGGGTGCTGTTATTTGCTTATTTACTGTCGACCTTTTCCTGTTAATGGCAAAATAATAATAATAATAATAATAAAAATAAAAATAAAATGATGAGTACACACCATGCCATGTTTGACCAATTGTGTATTCATGTCATTATAGGTTTGGCTGGAACTTCTAAAGCCCATAACAAAGCAAGTGAAAAGTAAGTCTGGAATCATTTAAGGAATATAGTTCCCAGCTACAACTGGAAACTATCTTCGCAATGCCACATGATTCCCCACCTTAATCTCGCTGGAAAGAAGGGCTTGGATGTATTATTTTAAGCCTGTGTAAGTCCAGGGAATTTAGTCATTTAAAAAAATCATCTCAATTTTGCCCAAGATGAAGGCGATCATGGTGCTGGGCCTTTGAGTACATTGGAAGAACCCTGCCCCTTACGCACGCTCGGGAATGGTTCTGGGAATAAATCTCATATTTTGCATGGCAAATCTTCATGCCTCTTTGGTGTCCGATCGACAAGATCATTTACCGTCTGCCGGATAGCGGTTTGTTTTATCCCATCACAGGTGTCATCCATTCGGTTGAGTTCAGATTTGAGCACCCACTATGTATGACGCCATTTCCCCCAGCATATGGCAACCGAGGCTAGGGGTTCTCAAATGTCACTGTATACTAGGATCACATGGATTTATTCATAAAGTGAAAATTCTTGGGTCTCAAACCCAAACTAGTTACCAGGTCAGTATGGATGCCGCTTCTGGTTGACCACTAAGCAGTCTACTATCTGCACCACCCAGGCACCCCAAGTAGGGAGCCAGAAACCTGCGTTTCTAACAAATTCTGCATTTTGAGAGAAAGTTTGAGAAACACCCTCTTAACTTAAAGAGAGGAACACCTCTCTCGCTGTTTTCTTTGCCTTCACCTTCTCTTTCCACGTTGGTGACTCCCCAAATCCGGACTGTTACTATCACGTGGCCGTCACCTGTCACCAGATTCCTAACGGACCCTCCTGCAACCATCCATCTCCTGCCCAGATGGCTTGATTGAATATAAAGCCTGACCAGATTGTTCTCCTGCTTAAAACCTTTCCATGGCTCCTCCTTGTCCTTAAAATAAAATCCACATTCATTTCCATGACACACAAAACTTTTAAAGCTGACTGCTTTTCCACTCTTCTGGTCAGTGGTATTTTGTTTTCTTGCCCCTCCTGAGCTGCAAAATGAATTTCAGGTATGAGATTTAAGATAAAATACAGGATGCTCAATTATATTGAAAGTTCAGATGAATGGTTCTTCTTTTTTTTAGTATAAGTAAATCCTACACAATTGTTGTTTCTAGGGAGTTCTAGTTTAATCGCTGCCACTGCGTGCCACAAGTCAATTCTGACTTGCAGTGACCTTGTAGGCAGAGTAGAACTGTCCCATGAGGTTTCGCACACCAGGTCTTTGCTCCCATGAAGCCCTTAGTGGGTTTGAACTGCTGACTTTTCACTTTGTAGCTGAACACTTAATCAGTGTGCCATTAGCACTCTAATTTGGCTAGTAGTCTTGTGTTTTTGTGTTCTAAATCCTTGAATTCCTCCA